ACTCTAAATTAAGAAATCAACAAATATTTTCCAGTTCTGTTATCTATACATTTCATTTTATACTTTTAGTACATAGACTAACAACAATATTAGGTAAAACTTGTTGTTGCTAAGCAACATGACATAAAAGCCATTACTGGAATGTAGTGTTATCAAAACACAATGGCTTTTCACTATATTAGAAGTTGTTAATCTAACTGATTTTTACCAATAATTATGTTATGAATATGTCACGAATTCATGCCTGGCATGGCCAGGTGGTTAAGGCACTCGACACGCAATCTGCGGGTCGCGGGTTCGAGTCCCCGTCACACCAAACATGCTCGCCCTTTCAGCCGTGGGGGCGTTATAATGTGACGGTCAATCCCACTATTCGTTGGTAAAAGAGTAGCCCAAGAGTTGGCGGTGGGTGATGATAACTAGCTGCCTTCCCTCTAGTCTTACACTGCTAAATTAGGGACGGCTAGCGCAGATAGCCCTCGTGTAGCTTTGCGCGAAATTCAAAAAACAAACACGAATTCATTTCATGAATGACCTTAATTTTGATTGGCTCACAAAGGAATTTACAGAAGTTTGACTGCCTTGACTGCACTTTTCTGCCTCCTTGATGGTCAAGCTTGATTTTGCAAAATTTATTTATTTCAGTTAGCTATCAAATGTAAAGTTAGGGTATACTATGGGGTGGGGGTGGTAATACTTGCCCCATCATTTTTGATGATCTATACACTAGTTGGATAATATATCTGACAATAATAAAGTACCTTTTATTTGTCTAGGGTAACCCTGGGCCTCCCGGACCTCCTGGCCAACCTGCATCTCGAGACAGATATGAGAAATTCATCCCAGTTCCAGGACCTCCTGGACCCCCTGGCCCAATAGTGAGTGTATACTTAGCATACCATTGAAGATGATGAAATATTTGAACACTGTAGTAAATAAATTATACCTCTATTCATGATGTTAGAAAAATCACAGGTTCAAGAAGTCTTGAGAGAAATTAATAAAAACCCTATAACCAGAGTGTTTTCGAAAAGTGGACCTTTCTTCTTCTTCAGGGGCAAATTATACCTATATTATTATTACAATTTAGCGTTTGCTAATGATCTTAGTCAGTGATGTATTTAAGGATTAAGGCTAGATTTCGCTACAACAACTAAACATTTTCTGCACAGTTTACTCTCAGTAAAATAAAGTAAATGCTATCCTTCCATACTTTAATAATTATTTACTGAACCATTTTACAGCATAATTTTAGTAATGAGCAGTGAAGAATGATCATGGAAGTAATACAGTGAAAGAAGACAAAAGGCCCAAGCAGAAAATGAAACAAAATATAGTCTTAGTGTACAGATTTTTTTGACATAAAATGATGAGAACTGCTTTTTTTTTTACTTTTGTTTTTGATAAACTTCACGGAATGAATTTTTTTTTAAAAGCGTAAATGTGTTTGTGCCTTACAGGATAAAATCCTTCTTTTAAAACAAAGATCTTGTTTACAGTAACATGTAGTATACTTTAAACAATAAACTGTCAATGTGCAAGTGTTCTACCTGGCTTTTCAATAAAAGGATACTTCAGCAACAAATAAATATCTATATAAGTTCCCAACTAAACTGGCGGAATCCTAAGGGATACCTCACCTGTTCTTCCACCAGGTATTCCTGACTTTGAAAACCTTAGTTTTCACGTTTCATGGTTTCCTGGTGGGTCATCGATAATCTCACAGAGTTACAAAACAAAAATCTGGGGTTTGATTTCCTGTGGTGGACACAGCAGATAACTCAATGTGGCTTTGCTAAAAAACAGCACATTTTGTAATTTCAATTTCGTTTTCAATGCTTTAAACTAATATTTCACTGTTGTAAATTATTTTTATCCTGTAAGTTAAATTATACTAACTTAAATTTTTTAAAACCAAAACTTGTAATAATGAAAACATTTATCTGAAACTATGCTACAGTGCACTGTAATTTAAACATTATGTTTTAACGTTTAAAAGGCTATTCATATTTTCACACAAATTCACAGAGTTATAAAGACATGTTACACAATTTAACCAACAGACTTAAAACTGTCTTGAAATTGATTAACAATTTAGTTAACAAGAGCAGAGACAGCAGCTTAGAGAAATAGTTTCATATTTATTGCTTTTGTCTGCAGTGTTGTATACTGAATAAATTTATGTATGTTGCTTATATATATAGTTTTATCAAATGTTGTATTATCAATAGTACAACATTTCAAATTAAATTGATGGTAGTATTAACAGTTTAAATTATTTATCCAATTTATAGGGTCCTCCTGGGCCAGTGGTTGAGGGCCTTCCTGGACCACCAGGTCCACCTGGTATTGGTAAACCAGGACCGCCTGGTCCTCCAGGCCCACCAGGCTCACAATATCATACTCGATGGCTTCGGAATCCAGATAGTGTAGGAGGAAGAGGTAGACATTATATATATATTTACTAGACATTCTTGATATAAATTCCATATGTTGTTACTGGTCACTGAAGAATTAATTAACTGATTTATGTTTTCTATTATTAATTTCTCATTATTAGATATCTTGCAAAGAGAAACTACAGTAACATTTTAAATAAGCTACCCTAACATTTTCTGGTAACTAAGTAACCCCTTTAAATAAGTAAACATAATGTTGAGCTAACATTTTCTGGTAGCTAAGCAAACCTTTTAAATAAGTTACCATAACATTTTCTGATATCAAAGTAAACCTTTTAAATAAGTTATCATAACATTTTCTGGTAGCTAAGCAAATCTTTAAAATAAGTTACCATAACAATTTCTGGTAACTAAGGAAACCTTTTAAATAAGTTACCATAATGTTGGACTAACATTTTCTGGTAGCTAAGCATATCTTTTAAATAAGTTACCATAACATTTTCTGGTAACTAAGGAAACCATTTAATTAAGTTACCATAACAATTTCTGATAACTAAGGAAACCTTTTAAATAAGTTACCATAATGTTGAGCTAACATTTTCTGGTAGCTAAGCAAATCTTTTAAATAAGTTACCATAACAATTTCTGGTAACTAAGGAAACCTTTTAAATAAGTTACCATAATCTTGAGCTAACATTTTCTGGTAGCTAAGCAAATCTTTTAAATAAGTTACCATAACAATTTCTGGTAACTAAGGAAACCTTTTAAATAAGTTACCATAGTGTTGAGCTAACATTTTCTGGTAGCTAAATAAACCTTTTAAATAAGTTACCATAATGTTGAGCTAACATTTTCTGGTAACTAAGGAAACCTTTTAAATAAGTTACCATAATATTGGGCTAACATTTTCTGGTAGCTAAGTAAACCTTTTAAATAAGTTATCATAATGCTGGGCTAACATTTTCTGGTAGCTAAATAAACCTTTTAAATAAGTTATCATAATGCTGAGCTAGTTGCTAAGTGGGTTAGTTTCAAAACCTATGTTGTTGAAGAAGTGTATAATTGTTTTAAAAGTGATAGCTAATTCAAGACGAAGCCAATAATAATCAGTTATATATTTTAGATTTACTCGCATAAAATTACTCTTCTTATCGTAAAGTAAGCCTCAGAGATGAACTGTACAATATAGTTTATTAGACAATAATATGGTTTGCAAACTTGTTCAGACCCCCCCAGTGGTACAGTGGTATGTCTGCAGACTTGCAATGCTAGAAAATGGGTTTCCATACTCATGTTGGGCACAGCAAAGATAGCCCATTGTGTAGCTTTGTGCTTAACTACAGACAAATTTGTATAGTACACCTATCTAAAGGGCCACATCAAAGGGGGAGTGGATGGAGTGGCCTCCCAGGTCCCAGGCTTAGAGTGGGGGCCCATAGCTTACTAGTACAGAAATGACATTTTAGGTTGCAATGCAAGTATGGTTCTGGGTCACTCTTAATCCATCCCTGTCTATGTAGAGTAATAAGCAAGACATGTCATTTACAGCTAGCTGACAGTAGTAACCAAAACATGTTACTTACAGCTAGCTGACAGTAATAACCAAAACATGTTACTTACAGCTAGCTGACAGTAATAACCAAAACATGTCACTTACAGCTAGCTGACAGTAATAACCAAAACATGTCACTTACAGCTAGCTCACAGTAATAACCAAGACATGTCACATACAGCTAGCTCATAGTAATAACCAAAACATGTCACTTACAGCTAGCTGACAGTAATAACCAAAACATGTCACTTACAGCTAGCTGACAGTAATAACCAAAACATGTCACATACAGCTAGCTCATAGTAATAACCAAAACATGTCACTTACAGCTAGCTGACAGTAATAACTAAAACATGTCACTTACAGCTAGCTGACAGTAATAACCAAAACATGTCACTTACAGCTAGCTCACAGTAATAACCAAGACATGTCACTTACAGCTAGCTGACAGTAATAACCAAGACATGTCACTTACAGCTAGCTGACAGTAATTACCAAAACATGTCACTTACAACTAGCTCACAGTAATAACCAAAACATGTCACTTACAGCTAGCTGACAGTAATAACAAGACATGTCACTTACAGCTAGCTGACAGTAATAACCAAAACATGTCACTTACAGCTAGCTCACAGTAATAACCAAAACATGTCACTTACAGCTAGCTGACAGTAATAACCAAAACATGTCACTTACAGCTATCTGACAGTAATAATGATAATTATCATCTCTCCTTCATTTACACATTTCACTCAATACAACTTCACATTATAGTGCAAACTTCTATATATTATGTTACATTGAAGACATATAAATAGATAGAATATTTTAATTGTTAACATGTTGTACAACCCTCCAATCTTCAATCATTAAACTTAGAGGAATTTTAAATAATTTTGTTTATTTACAAGCTTACAAATGGAAAAGGTCTTTTGAAAGAGAAGGTGAGGCTACCAGTTCTACTGGTTAAATAGAATATGTTGAATATATATATATACTTGTATAGAAATATGAATTTATTCATTACTTGGATGGCATATTGAATCTACTTGAAAAATAAGTATATTTTGTACTAACTATATATATGTGTATATATTTAAACATGTAGTTTCATATGTATATAAACAGTACAATTGACATATCTAACATCCTGTTATTTGATGTGTCTAAAAATGATGTAAATTTGCATATTACGTAGATCCTTTTATTACTTATTGTGTATATTGGAATGAAATCTCACAAAAGTTTGGTAAATAAAGTAACGTAAATAATGCTTGAGAATATTTGCTCATGTTTTATATTTATTTTGTCGTACATCTTTTCATGGAATTAAGTCAATTAAAACGTAATTTTTGAACTAAATTATATACGTAAGCTGTCAATCAAAACTACAAAGTTTATTAAGGAACAAAAACTGAAACTTATCATTTGTACATGTAATTATCTTGCAGTGGATATCAATAGTTTGTACTTTCAATAAATTATTGATGCTAAGAACAATGATAAAAAACGCTAAAAAATTCCCCTTTTCGTCTCATCATTATATACTTTTTATATATCACACGTAACTTCAGTTGTTTTTTTTTCCAGGAGTTTATTACAGACAAGGTCCACCTGGCCCACCAGGACCACCAGGTCCTCCAGGTCTATCATCATCACAAAATGATGATTATGATCATCCAGTCATCGTATCAGGAGTAAGGTTTTTATTATATATTAAATACATGTGTATAACAAAACCTAATTCAAAACGAATTTTCGTATATATATATATATATAACTATTTTATTTTGAATATCAGTTAAACACTGGTAGCTAAATGCTTGACCTCTAATGTGTATAGTTTGTAAGTATTATTTAAGTTGTTGGATTTTTGTTTGAACAGAAGCATATCTGTGCTTTTGATACTAATTGTTGTAGGAGATATATGGTTTCTATTTTTTAGTCATTAGTGAAAAGCTACGTACTAATATAGTGTCAGAGCTGCTGTCTCATATGTTAATCTTTGGGGTATTTGCAGTATCTAACAGAGTACTATATCATTGGTGTATGTAATACTCTGTTAGATACTGCAAATACTATATCATTGGTGTATGTAATACTCTGTTAGACACTGCAAACACTATATCATTGGTGTATGTAATACTCTGTTAGATACAGCAAACACTATATCATTGGTGTATGTAATACTCTGTTAGACACTGCAAACACTATATCATTGGTGTATGTAATACTCTGTTAGATACAGCAAATACTATATCATTGGTGTATGTGGTACTCTGTTAGATACTGCAAATACTATATTATTGGTGTATGTAATACTCTGTTGGATACTGCTGATGCTATATCATTACTAATTTTATATGTATTTAATACCTTGTCGATACTACATTTACCATGCTGTTATTAGTGCTAAATGTAAATATATATATGGTACTATATAGATACTACATATATATGCTATACCAGTGCTGATATGTGATATCACTGTTCTGTTACTGATTTCAAATGTTAATATATAATACCTGCTAAATACTGCCGATACTATACCATACCATGGTTCAACTGCTAATTTTTTGTTGTTGTTGTTTTAGCTCAATATGTGGATGCGTTTTATTGTTGCTTTAACTCTGAGGATATTATTTGATCAATACATACACATAGTGTGTTTGGGTTTGTCTTCTGAGTGAAAAACTGATATTTTAATCATTCTGTATTGAGTTTGGAAGACATATATTAGTTTGAATCACTTTATATTAGGTTCAGGGCTCATGTGTTAGTTTTAGTCATTATCTGTTGAATTCAGAGCTGTTATATTAATTTTTTTTGTAACATAATGCTTGAGCTGAAGTTAGTTATTATTGATATATGCAGAATGTAGACTTTAATCATTATACATTGAAAGTAGAGGTGACATGTCAGTTTTTATTGTTTATTTGGTATTTTTGTGTATTAGGATAGATACCGATCATGTTTTTAAATAAATTGTTGTTAATTTAGGTGTAAAGAGTTGGGACAAATTTCTTAATCTGAAATTATTTAAAAACACTCTGGTAATATCTAGTTTTTAAGTTGTACCACATATTAGTTTGTGTTAGTAAATGCTTATATACCTGCATAAATGATATCTATTAATGATACTTCTCCAACAAGACCAAATTATTTTAAATTATATCTATTAATGATACTTCTCCAACAAGACCAATTTATTTTAAATTATATCTATTAATGATACTTCTCCAACAAGACCAATTTATTTTAAATTATATCTATTAATGATACTTCTCCAACAAGACCAAATTATTTTAAATTATATCTATTAATGATACTTCTCCAACAAGACCAAATTATTTTAAATTATATCTATTAATGATACTTCTCCAACAAGACCAAATTATTTTAAATTATATCTATTAATGATACTTCTCCAACAAGACCAAATTGTTTTAAATTATATCTATTAATGATACTTCTCCAACAAGACCAAATTATTTTAAACTATATCTGTTAATGATACTTCTCCAACAAGACCAAATTATTTTAAATTATATCTATTAATGATACTTCTCCAACAAGACCAATTTATTTTAAATTATATCTATTAATGATACTTCTCCAACAAGACCAAATTGTTTTAAATTATATCTATTAATGATAATTCTCCAACAAGACCAAATTAGTTTAGATTATATCTATTAATGATACTTCACCAACAAGACCAAATTATTTTAAATTATATCTATTAATGATACTTCTCCAACAAGACCAATTTATTTTATTTTTTTGCTTCTCATTTATGCTTTCCAATTCTTACTTCTAACAATTAGTCACTTTTTCTGTATACGTATTTACTCCTCATTTAATAAATTTAACCAGTCTTTTCCAAGGGATCTATCTTATCTGTTGAGTGTATTGATATATGCTTAAAAGATGAACATGGTTTAAAAGAAACTCTTGATATTAACTGAAGCAAAAATTCTAGTAAGCCTTTTGCTTATTCCTTAGATATAAGATAAAGCAATCCAATTTCTTATAGTCAGTTTTGGTTTGGGTATATTAGTGAAATTACAAAGTTTTAAAATGTCTATAGCCATGGCTATTATATAGCTAATATTAGGGTTTCTTTTAAACCCTATCCTGTTCTTAAGCAGATCTTAGTAAATGCAAAAGATATAGAGATCCCTTGGAAAAGCCTGTTATAACTTATTAAGTACAGTGTAAAAACTTTGATATTATGTACATTGGGGAAAATTGATAACTGTTAAAAGTAAAAACTGGGGAACATAAATGTGCAGTAAAAAATGAAAAACTTAAAGTACCATTAATAGATATCATTCAGTTGACTGGGAAAGTTACAAAGCATTGGATGATGAGCAAAATATGAAATGTAGAGGCTTTTAAGATGGGTGACATATCTCTAACTTAAGCCATTCATGATGTTAGAAAAAACAGGTAGGTTCGAGAAATCCATTCAACACAAAAATATAAAACTATAACCTGAGCACTCTTGAAAGGTGGATCTTTCTAAATTAAGCTTTATAGGGTAAATAGGTTGCAGGATAGTACTTCTTTACATGGGTATGTTAAGCCTATTATTGTCAAAACAAAAGGTAACACAGATATTAAATACAGGCACAGACCTTAATGAGTCAGACCATTCAAAAAGACTTCCTTTGAAAGGCAAGGCATTAGTTGTTATATTTTAATTTTTTTAGCTTTTAAAAAATTGCAGTTTTTATAAATTACTGTATACTAAATTATTACTGATAAGTTTTACAAAATACATCACCTCTTTTAATTTAGTTTTAGACACGACAACAAAGAGAAAAACCACTTTGGTTCTTCTACTTGTAAGATTTTTTTATTCCTATTCTTTTCTCCTTTTGTGTGTCTAAGTTGTTTGTTTATTCATGTAAGTTTGCCTTTTTCATGGTTCTAGGCTGTGACATTTAGTAACCAGGAGATCTTGCATGAAGCGACTGATAAAAGTCCTCGTGGAACCCTTGCATTTCTTCTTGATGAAGATGCTTTGTTGGTAAAGGTCAGACAAGGCTGGCAGTATGTTGGAGTAAGTTATTTGTATCGGAGCAGTTTTATCTATTGAAACATTAAGTGTGAGCTGTTTTACATTACCGGATATCAATCTACTTATTGACCTCTATTTTCAGATTTGTTTCAGAAACACAGTATATATTACTAACAATAGGTTGTTTCTTCACACTCACCCTTAAGAAAAGTAAAAACTTAAGCCCAGACTTTATTTGTTATGACATTATTGATTTCTTTCTTGAACTCTTGATGAGATGAAACTTTCACTACTGTTGAGGGCAACTAATTCTATCACCCTGTTAAAAATATCTAAAGTATTTTATCTTTGTATCTTCTCCTCCTTTTGGCTTCAGACTATAACACAAATAAATCAGGGGACTTTATCCTATTGATCCCCTAGATAATACTGTTATTAAAGTCCAATAAGGTCATCTCATATTCTTCATTTCAGTCTAAGAGAATTAACATCAGAATCATCCTAGTAACCCTTCACTGAACCCTTTTCCAATGAGTAAATATTCTTCCTTACATAAGGAGACCACAACTGTACACAAGTGTGGCCTACATAATCATTTAAAAACTCTAATATGGAGGAACTAGAAATTTATTTTTGTAGTTATAAGTGTTTTTTAATGCTCATTATAAATATATTCATATAATTGGGAATTGTATATAATATAATATATATACTTTCAGCTTGGCCCTGTTCTGCCATCACCAAAAACACCAACACCACCAAGTCAGGTATGTATGTACATGCTCATTTTTTTCTTCAAGTTTCTCTTTAATATAATTGTATTTTTTCTACAGATTTTGATAGTGAGAAATGCAGATGTGATTTGTGTTGTCATGAAACTGTTTTTCTCTTAGTTTCACAAATGTATATTACAGATTTAGAAATAAAAACTATTTCAGTTGGTAGATAAAACTAGCTATTGGCAATTTTGGACCAGTTATATACACTATCAGAAAGGCTGCCCCTAATTACTAACCATTAATGACTTATTTGTCTGAATCTTGAATACCCAAATTGTGAATTTTTGTTTTTGCATTTTGTTAGTGGTCTCATTCAATAGATGGCGATACATTTCATAAGTCTTAATCACTACTTCTGGCATTGAGATCTTGTTGTATTTTAGCATCATCTTTATACTTTTCTGGTCTTCTCATCATGAATGGCTTTCTTGGGTCCTCTTCTTATAAATTTGAAACACACCCTAAGAATACAAAAAAATATTTAAACAATCAACATTTGATCTCTGCATCAATATTATCAATATGTTGATGCTTAAAGACTTTTCTCTAGTTTTGGTTACATACATAGATACTGACGTACACGCTACATCCATTATAGTAAGATATATGTATATGTGATCAAATAACTGACGTGTAAATAACACATTAATATTATGTAGTTTCTGCTTTTCTGTGTGTTATGTTTTGTTGACTAGAAATCTGATCCCCCAAACCGTTTTGTCTGAGAAGAGGTGAGAATGCAATGCAAATAAGCAGACTCGATTGATCTAGATGTAGATTGTTGTAATATATTTCTGTGGAATAACAATTGAGATAATTGAACTATAGGATATGAGGTGAGTTACCGTATTTTTCGGAATATAAGAAGTACCGGTGTATAAGACGCACCCTAATTTTGAGGACAAAGTTTTGGGGGGAAAAAAAACTACAGTCGCATTTGAAAGATTTTTATTGAA